ATTTATTCATGTATCGAGAAATTAAGTTTTAAGTATTTCATCATTAGATATTAAATGTTTTTCGATTTGATAGTAGTTAAATTTGTTATTTTACATCGTATTTCAGGTGGTGAAGAAGATATTGGAAAAACCTATCGACCATGCTAGCCTATCACTTTTAATGAGTGCGTGGATTGAAATAAACACTTACTTATATTATATTAGTTCTCAAATTTATATGAAATAATTGTTATTATAATTCTTATATTAAATCATGTAAATTGTAAAAGTTATTTATTTCAGATGATTGATTTAGAAAGCATAATTTTCAGAATAAAGTTATTTTTTTAAAATAAGCAATTCTTCTAAAAGTTAAATTCAGTTCAGTTAAACCATTTTATTGGCTTAGAATATTAGTATTAAATATTTTAGCACATTTAAAGTTACTTTTAAAATCATCAGAAAGTACCCAAGTGATTTTACCGTAATCTGCACTTGTGTGAATATGTTTCCACAGTATATGACCCCATATAGTTTATTTTTCCCGCTCTGCACTTGTGTGAATGTGTTTCCACAGTGTATGACACTTATGGTGATTTTACCTGCTGTACACTATTGTGAATGTATTTCCATAGTGTATGACCAGATTATAACCTTCGGGCAGTTTTGCGCGCGTATGATCAAAATTATAGAATTTCAGAATTACAAAATTGAATAACTTTGCCATGTATATCGGTATTAATCGATACATGAGTATTGTTATTCCGGGTACCTTTTTGATGTGAATTTTCATTATTATATTACTACAGCTTATCAGATTTCAGATTATACAATTCAGTTTATTCAGTTCATATAATAAAGATTCCAACTTATAGTATTCAGTAAATCAATATTTCATAGATATCAGATTATTTATATTCGTTATATTTTACAGTTGTTTATTTTGAATAAAGAACAAAAGATTTTATGATTTGATCATGTTTCAATTTTAAAAGTTATTACCAAACTTCTGAATTTCTTAAAGTTATAAAAGAGTAAATGAAGCTTTACATTAATATGTACAAACAGGAAAAGTATACTTATTTGCAAACTATCCTCTCACTGAGTTACAAGCTTATATATTTTGTCACTTCTTTCTTTATCAGATAGTAGCTGAGTTGAGCAATATTGGAGCCTGTTGATCCATCGAGTTGAGCCACACTTTGTCATTAATTGTATGACTCATTTTGTCAATTTACATAGTTCATATTTTTTTTTGGGTATATGTATGTTTTGTTAGAAAAGTTAAATTGTAATTCATGTATCCATATCATGGACTCACTACATATTGGGTATTTTGAGTACATTTGGGACTTTCGTTTGTAAAATATTAGTAAATGCCGATTTACCAGTATTGTATTTTGAATAGTTCGAGTTTTGAGGGGCTGGTATACCCTATTTTAAATTTATGTATTGGTTTGAGGATATTGATATTTGTTCAAGTGGTTTTAGTCCATATTACAAGGGAAACTATGTCAAAATTTTTATAAAAGTATGTTACAATCAAAAGAGGTCAAGGTCGCCTTGATGGTGGGTCTGGCATTTAGCTGGTATCTACCACCGGCACACGACACGACACGTGCCAGGTCCATTAGGGTGATTGGGGACACGTTGTGTCAGTGTGCCAGTCCACATTTTAGCACATGAGTTAAGTTAGCTCTTTTGCAGCTCACATTTTTCTCAGCCACGGGGGTTTGACTTCTCCGTATTCCAAAAAATGCCATGACAAAAATCTTGTTAATATAATTCTCAACAGCCAATAAAATGCAACCTAATACTACCACGATATGGTGAGTGCAGTCAATGGATGATTGGAAAAACATTATCCTATAGAAACGTCAAGAATCCAACATTCAGAACAATATGCAAAGTTGACACCTGGGAAGAATAATAGCATTTTGAATCACAACTATAGCACCTTACAGCAAATTAGGTCCCATTCATATTCACCTTACATTCTGTAGTCTCAAATGAGAAGGAAATACATTTTCAAGTACACCAGGCAAATTGCCCTTCTTGTGTTAGAGAGGTGCCGAAGGATGAATTAATCAGAAGGAATTGGTCTCAAAAGTGATTGAGGCTAACATTTTAAGATATGTTGGGTGTGAGGTTTTCATAAGAGTGTCAAAAACTCTTTAATTACAACAGTCAAATTGCCCATCTTGTATTAGAGAGGTGCGGAAGGATGAAATAATCAGAAGGAATTGATCTCAAAAGCCCCTGAGGCTAACATCTTAAGACATGTCTGCTGTGAGATTTTCATCAAGAGTCTCAAAGTTACAGTTTAGTACCATTTGCCTAAGTCCATGCCTCCAGCCATATCCTGAGGCAGCTCGAGTGTATGCTCCTTTGCTCTCATCTATCATATTTTATTAATGATCTCGACTTGATAGACCGATGCTTTCAAAAGCCTAAATTGATTTAAGTGTTATTTAGAAACTTTGGAAAAAATTCATCCCTATTGGCCTCAAATGCGAGACGACATTGCAACTTATGTGAAAACCTGTTTTATTTGTCAGCAAGATAAGAGATCATCAGAAAAAGGCAGGCTTGCTTGAGCCTCTTTCCGTCCCAACTAGGTCATTCGAGAGTGTATCAATGGACTACATTATTGGATTGCCACAAGTTCAGGATTTTAGCACTATCATCGTCGTGGTAGACCGTCTATCAAAGTACGCAACTTTCATCACAGCACCAAGTATGTATCAGCTGAAGAGACGGCTCAGCTCGTCATCAAACATATTGTCAAATACTGGGGACTGCCTAAAGACTTTGTCAGTCATAGGGATCCTTGATTTACTGGCATATTTTGGACCGAGTTGTTCAAACTTTTTGGTTCAACTTTGAGAATGAGTTCTAGTTTTCATCCACAATCTGACGGACAGACTGAGTGCTTCAATTCTATGCTGGAAGAATATTTTCGGCACTTTATTTCTACTTCGCAGAAAAATTGGGTGAATCTTCACAGAAAAATTGGGTGAAACTTTTGGACGCCTCAGATTTGCTTGCTTAAAAGAGCTCTTTCACCAATAAGAGTCCTTTTGAGATTGTGACTGGCCAACAATTGTTACTCTCTCATACTATGAATATCGATCAAAGTACCAGTCCACTCAAGCGAAAAACTTCTCTTAAGAGTGGAAACGAAATATTAAAATTGCTAGGAGTTATCTTGAGAAAACTCCAAAACGGTATAAAAAGTTTGCAGATTTAAAGCGCCGTTTCTTTGAATTTAAAGTTGGAGATCTAATAATGGTCAAACTCCTGACAGAAACTGTTATAAACCGACAAGAGGAAAAGACTCAAGATTGATGCTAAAATATATTGGACCATTACCCATCATGAGTCGCATACATAGTTGCACTCCCTTCATGGTACAAAATCCATAAGGTCCTTCATATTGGTGTACTCAAATCATACTTTGCAGACAAGGAGGACATATCTAGAAATGAGCCAAGCAACCTGTGTTTCAACTGAGAAAAAGTCGGAAAGAAGGTTGCTGAAGATATACTGGACCATCGAACTACTTGAACTTCTAGGAAATATCATCCAGAGTACTTGATCAAATGGAGTGGATGCAGCAGTGAGGGAAATACTTGGGAATGAGAAAAAGACCTGGGAGCCTTCAAACCATTAATTGAAGCATATCATGCATCGAGGGCACCGATGACGTCACCAAAATAAATGGGGGAGAATGTTAAGAACCGCAGCTTTACTTGACCCTTTGACCCAATCGCAGCCGCAGTTTGCCCAACTTCGGCTGCATATTGTGATATTAGTTCAGTTTAAATTGTAATTTTATTTCCATTGTAATAGTTTATTTGAGTTGTAAAATAACTTGATATTTGTAAACGTTTAGTATGATTCCTCGTCATTTAAACGTCTACCCCTATTACTTAAGTTTTTGTTCCGCGAGCTATTATAGGGGATATTAGTCATTCAAAATCTTTCAAACTTATTGGTGTTCGCCCATGCACCAGCTATTGTAATTTTCTACATTAATTAATTGTAATTTTCGCTTTCATCAATCAATGATTAATTTACTTTAAATGCATCTAAATTTTCTTTTGCAAGCTTTCTACAAATTGTAATCAAATTTTCTTTTGTTCCAAAACGATCGAGAAAAGGCGAAAGGTAGTCTAGCAGAGCATACTACTGCCACACGGACACGGTGTCCTTTTCTGTGCCAAAAAGAAAGGTACCCCGTGAAACCTAACCTCCTGCAGTGAGATAAACCCCCTCATAAGTGAAGCTGCATTTTCAATGGTGGATGGACAACAATGGGAGATCTACTACATGTAATTTCACTCTCATATTTCTTTTGTGTGTTTCTTGTTGTATTTTTTTCGTCAAAATTTTCTTTTCTTTTCTTTTCTTTTCAAGTCAAAGCAAGTGATGTTCATAACAGTTGATGAGTAATTTCATTTCTTTAAGACTTTCAGTATTATTTGTGATTAGTGGTCTTGTGATCAATATGACTATGTTACTTTATAATTTTGTTACTTTGTTTATCCATTTTAATTTCAAGTTGTACATTTGTATTTTTATTTTGTAGTAGTATTTTATTATGAATTGTTAAGTGATGATAGTGTGAGTATAATTTGTACTTTTGTAATTTTTTTGAAGAATTATTTTATAGGTTTATATTGAGGCTTAATGATGGGGAATGAAGATAATAATAAATATAGATTTAGATAAGGTTTTAAAGTATAATTTGATTCGAATCATATATGTTTGATTACATTCGTTTAATATTCTAGTAGCATTTTATAGTAAGTCGACCATTATGACTCACCACACGAAGGCAAAACTTCTTGATACCCAATTTGGACTTTCTATATACTATTGATAAGGGTGGATGTTAAGGCAGTTCGAATTGCTTTATTTAGACATACACATTATTTACATCAACTCAAATAAAAATGCATAAAAACTTGGAATGGTTAGTCACAAGATAGTTCAAAAAGAGCTAAAGATTCATTTACCTTGTAAAAACAACTGGTCCCAAATGGGCAGGTCCCATTCCCAAAGTCAAAGTGCTTGCAATCAATAGACCTGAAACAAAATTACTTACCCGTGAGAGAGAGAGAGAGAGAGAGAGATGAAGGGGATCTATCTTACCTGAGCTTTGCCTTGTAACTATCAACAATCTCCTGCTTTTCCACTTTTGAACAATACCAAATGACACTAGGAATGACGAAGTACGAAAGTTTCCGACATATTGGGCAGGCTCTTAGTGCAGAATTAACATCCATTCCAGATGCTGATGAACTACTGCGCCAATTCCTAATACACGATATACAGAATGGATGATCGCACTCTGACAATATTCCAAACTTTCTTTCAGCCGGAGCAGACTTTGATAGAACACGTTCAAGGCACACACAACACTCTATTTCTTGACTATGTTTTAATGCCTCTAAGTTTCTTTGCATTTTCTCACATGTTTTCACATGTTCTTCTCTCTCTTGAGGCCTGAAAGGATGCAAGCAATGTTTCCCACAGGTGGGGCACAAATCACCATGAATGTGTGGGCATTTTTCCCCATGCGGACAATTACCCGCAGCAGCAAAAGAACATATTGGTCGGTCAGCAGGATTAACACTCAGCTCCCTAACGTCATCATTCTCTGTTATATCAGGATGCCCAAAATTTTCATCCCATGCAGATCTACTTGGAAGATAGAAAGGTCCACCAGAAGCTGAAAGCTCAGAAGTAACAGCAGTGACAATACCTGCACTACCAGCTGCAGACTCAGAAAGATGATCAGCATGGACAGAATGATGTTGGTGAGAATATACTGATGAAGATGGAGCTGGAGATTGTAAACGAGCAACTTTGACATGGTCATATCTACACCTACCACCATAAGCACAAACTCCTTTTTGGTAGAAGGTGCATATCTGCAACAATTTAGCACAAAAATTACACTATTGCTACCACCAATAAGTGGCTTGAAAATCCAAGCAATTTGCTAAAAAGTTACATTATTTGGCGGGGCCTTCCAATCATGCGAGAACTCACAATGGTCCCCTTTTAGACATGCCCCATGGGCAAAGAATTTGCAAAGAACCCTGAAGGCATCAAAATAATCAAACATGTGAATTTATGGGATGTTCCATTAGGCCAAAGCCATCTCTAAAGAACTGGAAGCAAAAATATTTTCTTCAATAAAGAAGTACAATTATAGATCCAAATTTGTGATGCACCTGAGAATTCATTTTGGAACTCGTTGTTTAGAGAAAATAGGATTGCTGTGGGCAATCTAACAAGAATTAGACCAAACACATAATGGTTGGGTATCCACATAATGCATAGCAAGTGTTTGGCACCCATTTTGGGAGTATTATAAATTTTGGATTAGTGATTGATGTAAGAATGTGTTGTTGAAAAGTAATTAAAAAATTTAGATTTGTGTGTAATATTATTTTATTTGGAGAATGTGTGGTTATAATTAAGAAAGAGGAAAATTTGAAAAAAAATAATGGGTGCCAAACACAAGCATAATACACAATTCACGAAATGCAACATCTACCAAAAGTTCTCACCTATCATGCTAACGCTGTTTATATTTATTATGATGCACCTAGTCCATGAAATTTTAGACAAACGCCTTTTCGCGAGGCACAAGTTGGTAGAAGAATTTGTTAGAAACTATGTAAAATAATATTTTGTACAATCTATTGTCCATGCAAGCACAGACAACAACATCAAAATCCACCACTAATTTATAAAACAGAACCAGATGTAATTGATTTGAATGTATTGTCGTGAAGATTTTGCCCCAAAAGAAACTGTAAAAATCTACGTGAAAATAAATTAGAGGGCAAAAGCTGATAAGGAAACATAACAGATCAGCATCAGTAAATATAAAAATTGCACTGCACCAAAACGACGACTGTCCAAGTTCGAAGACATCAATCATCCAAGTCAAGGAAATACATCATGATTAGCCCTAAGTTATTTAACATCGTTAAGGATAATATTCTTAGTCATATCTCAAAAACTAGTCGTTGACTACACACAGAAAGTCCATACTTTCAATGTTGATTCAAGTCTCATAACTCGCAATGGGACTATGACGAAAATACATCATGATTAGCCCTAAATTACTTAACCTTGTTAAGGATAATATTCTTAGGCTAATGGAAACCCTAATATGTGAATGAAACCATCTTTCAAAATCCTATGGAAACTAACTAAAGTTGAATTTTCATAGGAAATATGTCTACTCAAACCAGAGCAAGGAGCTATTTTTTATTCTTATTTACATCCGGATCCCCCAGTCCCTCAATTTCAGTTCCCCAACGAAGAGAACATGAGGTCCTGGTCAATTCCTATCTCTCTTTTCTGTAGCCCCATACCAATTCCATACGCAATCAATAAAAGAATATGCTAACCACCTGTCCAGAACTTCACCAAACAGGAAGTATAAGCATGCACCAAAGAAGGCAACCCATCAAAATTTGAATGGCTTCAATTTCAAATTTGTTGAAACTGGGTGCAAGCATAGTAGTTATCGAGAGAAAGGAACATGGTTCAGATATTTTGATAGCCAAGAAATCAACATCGTAAGACAAAATAACTCAGATGATCTTTTCTTGTTATTTCTTTTACTTAATTTCTTCCTTTACTTACCAAGAAGTGAATTGAATGTTCTTCTTTTTTCTTTCATTCACAGCTAATTCTTTGCCAGCCCCAATATAATTTTATAAATTCTTGAAAACAATATTTCGTTCGTTTCGCTTTCCATAAATATTATCAATTTTGTCATTGACTCTCTAATTAAAACAATAAAAAAAATTATACAATTCTCTAGCAATAATCAATTCTGGAAAGGCATGATATCGAACAGAAGCATCGGGAATTCAAAACCCATTTCAGATAAATTTCATAAATAAAAACATATGATATAAAACACGAAAAAAATCAAACAAATTGGATATCTAATGATATCAGAATAATTTGTAAAAGAAAAAAATCAACGAATTAAGAAATATGAACTGGTACCGTTTTGACATGGCTTTTGCAGATATCTGAAAGAAAATTTGCGAATGATTTGAAGCGAAGGGATAATGGCTTAGCTCAAAATGTGAGAGAGCTAATTTAGGGCTTTTGGCGGTTCGGATGTTAGGTAGGATTATTGTGCTAATGGTCCTTCATTTTTAGCTATATTATGCAAACGACCCTAAGTTGCTAAAAGTCTTGGGCCATTACCGAATTTTTACAAAAATGTTGGCCCAATTTGTATAATTTGATGGGTGGGCCCGCGATTTTCACGATGAGATGTTTCCGGATAAATTAATTCCCATTCATTTAGACTCCGCTTACGAAAAAATTATAGTACTTTTAAATAAATAAATAAAAATGAGGGATGAAAAAGTGGATAGCACTTTTAAATTAATTAAAATATATTTTTGAAATTGAAGTTTCAAAATTTATAAATTTTGACAAATTGAGGCTTAGTCTTTAGCGAAATTTCAATTGGATATTTCAACTTTAATTTATCTTAATTGAGTCAGTAAACTTCATTTTTAAATTTAACCAGTATATTACACCGTGTCACCTAATTTCCAAATTGGCACCGACCATTATGCCCTAGCTGATATTTCACGTAATCACTACACATTAGTTTAGAATGAAGACGATAAAATGAAGATTATGACAATGTTTTTAAATTAAAATGTTAACTTCGAAAATAATATTGAGTTGTAACTATTTTTGCAAAAAGAATAAAAAAGAATGAAAAATATTATTTTATTGAAAAATGTGTGGTTGAAAATTAGTAAAAAATGAGAATGAAAAAAATAATGTGGCTCAAATATGAGCCTAAATGAAAACTTAGAAACTTTTTTAGAAAATATTGTTTCAAATGTAATATATGGAGAATGGAAGAATAGTAAATACAATCAAATCTCTATAAATTAATAACTTTGGACCAACAAAGATAATTAATACAATAATGTAATTTTTTTTATTTGTGTGTAATATTATTTTATTAAAGGATGTGTGATTGAAAAGAAAAAAAAAAGAAAAATATATTTTAAAAATAATAGGGATCAAACACAATTCTTACATTATTCAATTATGAACATTAAAAAAACAAAATTAACACAACACAATTACATGCAACAATGGCTCCTCAACTTAAAGGTGTAAAGAAATCAACAATTACAAATCACACGTGTGAAATATTGTGGGAGTACAACAAAGATAATTCAAGTAGCAGTGAAAAAATAATTTCAACAATTGATTCATGAAAAATTAACTTGCAAGTGAGTTAAAGGACCATATCAAATATGATCAAGTGATCTTCACAGTATCTCTCAGCTACTTCGAAAATTAATGTCTCTTGGATCACATCTCTAACTTTCTTTAAAATGTATTTTGGGAAGGTTTCATAATTGAATCATAAACATTATGTATCCGAAAATTAATTTTTTTCATAATGCATTAGGAAATTATTAGTTTATATATTATTTTACAATTTATTATCATATAAATTTAACGAGTAATTAATTTAACAAGTCATCCCCAAGTCAGGACCGACAAAAAATATGAATGTTCCGGTGCATTGATTTGAGAAATCATAATTCGCATAAGACACCACCTTGATGATCTAATGCGCATACAAATCCATCAAAATTGAATGTTCCAGTGCATAGTTTTGAGTACATTCGTCATGGCGGCTAGCCTCTACAGCAAAGTTCATTCGCGATACTTCGGAAAATGTGAACAAGGTCATACGCGAATCTTTTCTATGTCAAGGAATGGTTGGAATAATTGATGAATTTGAAATTCTTGGACTTGTCAACAGCATAAGGTGTGAAACAGAAGTATATTGGGATGATGAGAATACCACAAATTTTTTTTTTTTTTTTAAAGATTATGAGTATAATTGTAAATTTGTTGTGGTATATTTATTAAAAATATATTTTAGTTGTCGTGTGATTATAATGTTGTATAGTGATGAGTGTTCTATACCCATGATATTTATGCTACTTAATTCGTTATTTTGTTATCTTGAGAGAGTTTTAGAACGTTTTAATGTATGTTTTGATATTGTGATATATGTTGATGAAATTGAAGGAAATAAGTAAGAGTTGACAAAATTGGAGAAAATGACTAAACTGTAAGAGATCCAAAGTTCGGGGACTAAAGTGCAAATATTCAAAGTTGTTTCGGACCTCAAAATGAAGATTCGAGAGTGCTTGTAGTCAATTGGATGAAAAAAGAAGTCAAATGAATCAAATATAGTCAAAGTATGATCACACATCATTTTCCAACCAAAAAAGTTATGCTCCAGATTTGTAGTCTCATATTGAGACTCATTTTTGACATAGTAAAAATTTGAATTGGAAAATTAAATCTGAAGCAAAGTTGTAACCCTTTGAGTTATCTTTCCAAACCATTTTGAATCATCTCAATCGGATATCGAAAGAAAAAGTTATGATAAAAATACTGAAAGACGCATAGTGTAGTTTTTCCACCCAAAGATGGGCGCCGCAGCGCTGGGTTGTGAGCGCTACATTACTGAATTACTGAAATTTAGCAGAAATCACGGTGCCGTAGTGCCCAAATTGGGCACCGAGATAGGTTTTTGATTTTTTTTTTTTAGACTCTTTTCTTAGCCCAATACAATTCCAACCCTTCCAAGATTTCATGATAATATAAATACAATCCTAAATAGCACTTTTGGGGGAAGAATTCAACACACAATTGAAGGAGGCAAAGTGCGCATAATTCAAGAAATCAAAAGGAAATAAGAACAACATCAATGAAGAAGATTAAAGATCTATCTAAAAATTAGTTTTTTCTATTCTTTTCTTTATGTTGTTTATTTTGAATTATATAGATCTCATATTTCTTATCATGAACTAAACTATTCATCTAAAGTTTGATTGTAACCAAAACTTGAGAGTATGATTTGAATTTATTTTAGTTATTTCTATGAAAATTTCTATTCCATTTATTTGTGTTATGATTTTAATACTTTCAATTAATTGGTCACTAATTGAATGAGTAGATACTAGCCAATTCTGGCACTCGAGAGAAGGGAATTTTAGGCGTGACCATAATATTAACACAACATAGATTTCATGGGTTTCGAGAGAAAGTATAGGATCTATGAAGTTTACTACGGGTGTGTTTGAGTCACATTATTTTGGAAGAATGTATTTTGGAATAGTAGATTGATGGAGAATGTGTGGTTGAAAAAGAAGGAAAAGTTATTGATATGATGGAAAATATTATTTTATTGAAAAATGTGTGGTTAAAAATGAGTAGAATAATGTGAATGAAAATTTTAATGTGGCTCAAACAGGGGCTACATAAAAAAATTATGAATTTGATAATTTCTAGATTTTAATTCGAAATAGAGATATCGAAATTAATTTTTAGGATTAATTTTTATCTGCCACTCAAGAGAGGGGGTAGAATTACATTAGAGTTCTTACTTATAAACATGGAAAACTGATTAGAGATAATTAAGTTTTTGAGAATCATATTTGATAGTTAGGTGAAATCATTCCCTAGACCTTTCCATTTTGATTAAATTCATATAATTTGTATTCATTGAATTCGTCACCAAAATTATCGTTAGATTAGTTAACAATATTGATTCACAACTCATTCGTCTAGATAAAATAAAGGTTACATAATTATAGTACTTAGTACAAAATTAAATTACATTAATCCCTGTGAGTTCGACACTCTTAAATCTATTACTATATTACAAAACTTGACACAGTACACTTACGGTATAAATCATGTTATAGAAAACACGTGACATATGGTAAGTAAATTTCGTGATGATAATATATAATTACCCTTTAGTTAATATAATTGAAACAATGAATTTTATTGCAATTTCTCCTAATATACACCTACATTAATTCATTCAATGTTTAAAGTAATTAAATTATGCAATGCAATATTCAAGGTAATAAAACATCGAGGAAATGTAGATGGTCTTTCAATTCCTTACTCTTGGTTTAAGACAATGATGACAATAAAAGATGGTGGTCCTTTTTTATATTCCAAATGCAAATGAATAAATGTTGTGGAAGATGGAACCTTTTTTTTTTTTGGTTTTTAATTTATCGTTCCAACTACAATTGAATGATGGAGTGATTTATATTTATGATAATAATATACATTAAATAGGGGCATATTATGAAATTAATATATTAACTACACTTTCAAATAAAAAACAGTACTATAATTTGAGACACACGAAACATGAAAATATGATTATCTTTACGAGGCAGAGGTAGTATATGTTTTTGACGTGCAATATTTTTCTTGTTTTCACCGCAACCGTTAACTCGTTTTTTAATTTTTCCCCTCAACACCAGGCAACAGTAATTTTTTTATCCATTTTTCTCTGATTACATATTAGGGGTGGTTGTGGTGTAATACAACCCACCCATTTAAAAACGAAAAAAGTGTTTCTATAATAATCAGACACCTTACTATATTAATTCTAATTTTTTAATAAAAAATTTTTGGTTTTAGTTAAAACCTTAGGATCTTAAAATGTCCATTTTCCCTTCAACCTGTTGTTATTTCTTCAAGGATTTCTCTTCTCCTTTGAAAGAGTGCGTTGAAGAACTTCATGATGGTATTTTCTTGCCTTCAAATCCAAAGATTATTCTACTTGTATGCTATCTTATTCTGTTCGTTTTGGTGCTACATTGTTATGTATTTGTAATCATGGCTGTCGATTTTGTAAACACTCAATGAGAACATCTATATGAACATAAAAATAGAAACCATACAAAATACACACATGGGGTGGGCCCCATTTTTTTAACAATATTTAATTCACATGGGGCCCACCCCCGTGTGAGTATATGTACAATTTCTGGCAAAAAATTTTCTGTACAAGCAGAAAATTTCAAACTAAATTAACTTGAAGACTAGGTTGAATAGAATGCACTATGAAAAAAGAAATAATAAAATAAATGAATATCATTTTATATATAATTTCTCTGTCATATTTTGTTGTCTTCTTTTATTC